TAACTACCATTAATGAAATTCATTTACATTGTTTGTCTCAAACAGCCTTTGATTCCCTGTGACAACAACATGCTTGTGGTTCAAGAAACCTGCATTGATCCTCTTGGAACAATAGTGGCATATGCACCAATTGATCTAAAATGTCTGGATATGGCAGCAAGTGGTGTGGATTCTTCCAACATACCAATACTTCCATCAAGAATCATAATCTCCAGTGATGGCCATCCACTTCTTGCCACCAGAGACGGTGCTTCAACTTCAAGCGCAACCACCACTGCCACCGGTGGTGTTGGTGGTTCCATTCTTACGGTGGCTTTCCAGATACTAGCGTATGAGGCGTCATCTTCCATGAATATTAACTCCACTGTTCAGAATATAAAGTCTGCTTTTAATTGCGCTGGGCTTTGATTGACCTCTCTTGCCTCTTGGTGGTTTGATGGATTTGTCATTTCTGTTTGATTTTTGTCATGGATTATGATTTTTTTTTTCTTTATTTTTCATTGACAGACTGGTTGTTAAGCTTTAGAAAAATCTAGTGGGGACAGATAAATATTTTTTTTAATTGGCAAGTGAGATAAAGATTTTCTTTTGCCGATTAAAAAAAAAAAAAATTTGGACAAAGATTTGATGCTTATATTGTCTATTATATGGCTCTTTTATGAAACCGCTCTCATATTTTGGCTTGTTTAATACTTTTTGTTATAACCTTATGAATTCTATATTCAAATAGCATAATTACATTACTAGGATCAATTGTGTTTTCTTATGGAAAACAAAATTGATTTTTTTATTTGTTTGTATTTGGATTTGAGGTTGGCACTTTGCTAATTGATGTGATCCTTGTTTCTTCTTACGTGTTTGCATATATGATTGGCTTGTTTTTTATGTGTAAATTTAATTGAAATATATGATGTATTTCTTTCACCTAGGTTTATTGATTTGGGGTTACTTTTGTAATCCTATTCGTCATTAAAATTCTTTTTTCACTGATAAAAAAAAAATGAGAAAATTAATGGGGGAGTTGAGTGCAATTTTTGATGATTCCGGAGCCTCAAACATCCAATTATGTATTTCTTATATGGTAAGCAAATTTAACAGCGTCAACAGCAAGATTATCTAAAATTTATTCATTTACCTCTTTTTTTATATTTTCCAAGCTGATGGGCTGGTGATTTTATTGTTTCAGAAAAAACAAAGTGTGTGCATTTTCATAATTGATAGCAAAAACGTGGCGACATTTTTAAGAGGGCAAGTCATATTAACTCCAACACATGTTAATAAATCACACGTACTACCAACACATGCATACCCAAGTTTTTATTTTTGAATTTCTTTTTTCTTTCTATTATTTCGATGCAGACACGGATTATGCAATCTTTCTAAACACAAATATTAGCTGTGATGAGAGGGTTGTTCAGCAAAACGGTAAGGTTTGTCGTTAATATTTTTTTGGGTGAATTATATTAAAGATCTCTATAGTTTGAGACTTGTATTATTTTGATTATTGATTTTTCAATTGTGACATATTTGATTTTAAATTTTAAATTTTGTTATAAATAAGGGCAATTAAAGATACCATTGCTCAATCTCAATGACAAAGTCGTTAATTTGATAAATTATAAACTAATTTGACAAAAATAAATGTCAACAAAATATTTTAAAATTTTTAAAAATTATTCTATCCACCAAACATAAAATTATGTAAAATTGATAAATTTTTTACACATTTATTTATTTATTTACTAAATTAATTTTTATCCTATATTTGGATGATGATCATGCAACAGGCGATTATTTTTATTTTCATTAAATTAGTTTTTATTTTTTCAAAAATCAAATATAGCAATAACTTTGATATCATTATTAAATCAATCTATTAAATAAAAACATTCAAAACTAAAAATATTTCATATATTAAATGTATCGATTACACATTAAAATCCTAACAACCACCTATTACATGATCACCATCCAAACACATAATAAAAATTAATTTAGTAAAATAAATGTGTAAAAAAATTATCAATTTTATATAATTTTATCTTTGGTGGGTAGAAATAATTTCTGAAAATTCAAAAATATTTTTTTGACATTTATTTTTGTCAAATTAATTTATATTTTATCAAATTAACGACTTTGACCTTGAAATTGAGCAATGATTTCTTCAATTGTCCTTACTTAAAATAAAATTCAAAATTTAAAATCAAATATATTACAATTAAAAAGTTAAAGACTAAAATGAGACGAGTTCTAAATTATAAAAACTATTAATATAACTCGCTTATATTTTTTTGATAAGTTAGGTTCAAGTTACGTAATTAACTTGTCAAAAAGAAGAATAAGATTGTTAGTATCTTATCCTCCCAAACTCCATTTCAAAAGGAGTCTCATACAATGTATTGCTTTCTTCCATTTTATTTACTTTTTGGTTGGCAACTGTTTCCAGAGACGAAACTAGAATATTGTTTTAAGGGGACCCAACTTAACTGTAGAAAAAAATAAATTTTAATATAAGCTGTAAAAAAAGAAGCTAATAATAAGAGAAACTAAAAAAACAAAAGGCACTGCATAAATCTAAATTTAAATTTTATTTAGTCAAAATTTTCGCCTTAAAATACTTTGTCAAAAAAAATATGATTAGACAAAATGAGACCGACTCCATATACACTGCTCATGAGAGCACGAAACAACACCAAACAAACCCCCACACCCAACACCACCCCCACTCACTCTCTCTCTCTCTCTCTCTCTCTCTCTCTTGTCTCGTCGTTTCTCTATTCGAAACACCAAAACTCGGCTCCAAACCCTAAATCACATTATTGAATTCGATCACCATCAATCACAGTCCCTCCAATCTTCCACCAATGGAGCCAGGGAACTAGGAGAAAATTATGGGGGACCATGGTCCCGTTTCTGTGAACATTATTATTTGTCATTAAGCTTTAAAAATATATATGTCATTTTATATATAAAATGATTCAGTATAAAAAATATATATGTCATTCTTTTTTCATATTGAATTCTATTTCTATTTTACATAAAAAAAAATAATTTATTCGTCCTATTAGAAATTACTTCTATGGTATCTAATTTTTTTTAGGGAGTTTTTTTGATAAATCCACTTTCTAAGAGCTTTATTCCATCCAACCCATATTCTTTTTAACTATTCCATTAGGTCCTATTTGAGATAAGAAGACCAAAATACCCTTTTCATCTACTTATGTTCCATTTAGTTCATATTATTTTCTTATGTTTCAATAAGTCCTATGGGTGACATAATTACCAAAATACGAGCCGGTGGCCCCTCATTAAATAATGTAAATACACTTGGTTTAGTCCTCATTTGATGGTATAATATTCTATTAAATTTTTTTGGAGAGAGCACTAATGAAAACTTAGAGAAGGAATATGCAGAGTTTTGAAGTTAATTTGAATAACAAAATGTGTAAGAATAGAGAAATCAATTACGAAATTGGACAAAACACTAACACATGATGTGGGTTGACATCTATGTGAGAAGGTTGTATCCGATTTTGTGCAAGTAGAATATTTATAGCTGATTTGAATAAGCTCTTACAGCTCTTATGTGCCGATAGTGATGCCAAGCATGGTGACTATGCCATGATCTTAGTTTTGCAGTTTGAACACTAGTATTGGGAATGTGAAGAGACTCCATTTCTTGCATATGGGAGTGAACTTGGTGCATATCAACCCCTCTGCTCATGTTAGTGATAGGGCATTCCTTGTTGCAGAAAGAGGTTTGGGCATTGATGGAATGGAGGAAATAGATAATCACAGTGACAATTATGAGGGGATAAGAATTCATTACTCTCTCTCTCTCTCTCTCTCTCTGAGATATCTCTAGTTGATGCAGTTGTGAATGTATCTGCAAACTGTGTCATAGATCTGATGAGCTAATAAATCTTTCATAACATGACATTTGATCCAACTAGTTTCAACAGAAATTAGGGCCTTGTTGTGCACATTAAAATTATGTACTAGAGTTTCTCAATTACTACAGAATATATGCTTTGCTTATCAAACTAGGAAAATCTCTTTTGCTGCTTTAATTAGTACAAGGCAATCAGATTTTATTCCATTCTTGAAGATTTTTCCTCTTTTCAAATTCAATTCATTTTTATTTTATTTTTTTATGATGAAAAACTCCAATAGTCCCACCTTGTCATTTAGTATCTTATGAATAAATTTCAGATACACACAATCACAGGCAAACAATAAGCATTGATTAAGCCCAAGTGTTTTTATTACAAGTCGAACATGAGATCTTCTAAGAATTACACCGTAATTAAGCTCCAATGTTCAACCCTTTAACCACTAGGCCATCCATGCAGGTTCAAATTCAATGTCATGTATCATTGTGACTTTCTCTTTCTTTTTCCCATCACAGCCTTGAAGGATCAAATCAAAGTAACGAATGTGTAGGAAGCCAAACAATGTGGTTGCAGACTGTCAGGCTGATAAACAGGGCCAAAATGAAGTCAAGCCAATACAGATCCATCAAAACTACATCAATTTCAGGGAAAGGGTTCTCATATCTGCAGCTTCCTTGGGCTAGAAGCAGGAAAGATAGGAATCATTGAATTTATTTATGAAATGACTAAATAGTCCCTTCATATTATGATGTGGCAGCTTGTGATTGGCACCTGAGTACTGCTGTCTTCTTTGCCAGATTCCTTCCATTTTGGGATACAAAAATCATGCACCAATTGCTTTACTTTTCTTTACTCCCAATCTAATGGGTTTTTTTTTTTTTTTTTTCTTCAGTATTTTGCAAGTAGTCAATTGAATCAAGACCACAGAAAAAAAAAAGCAAGCCTTGTAACTTCAGCTTCCCACTGGCAAGTTGTCAACTCTCTTGCCAATCCCCCTATAAAACCCCTCATCTCCTATCAAACCACCCCCTCTCATTCCTCCCAATCATCACGGTTATAAATACCAATACATATCCTCCTGATATCCTGATACTGTTATCTAAAACCATGCTTTCAACACCCATAGAATCCCTAAAAGTACTATTCTTCGTACTCTTAGTAACACATACCATTGTTGCAGCATTGGATACAGATCAAGACTTTGTTGATCATGAAGATGACTTTGACGATCATTCACGTGGTGAAATCAAAGAAACTGCTTCTTTACAAGGTTTGAGCCACTTTTTGGCACAGCAGAAGATGCCGGCAAACTATACTTGTGAAAAGTTTCCTAGGGTTTGTGGACTGAAGGACAGCGCAGGGCCAGATTGCTGCAAGAAGAAGTGTGTGAATGTGAAGACAGATCAATTGAACTGTGGGATGTGTGGGTATAAATGCAAGTACGCTGAGATATGTTGTGGAGGGAGGTGTGTGAATGCATCATTTGATAAGAGCCACTGTGGAGGTTTCCATAAGAAATGCAAGAAGGGAGAGTTGTGTGTGTATGGGATGTGTGATTATGCATGAGCACTTCACTACAAAGATTGATTTTGACTTTGATTATTATTTTTTTTTTTTTGAGATATTCACTAGAGAGATTAAATGTAACCTTGAAGTTATACATAATTTATATTTTGTACTGTCATGCTCTATATATAGTTAGAGCATTAATGCATCTTTGAAAGCATAAGCTTGTAAGATTATTGTACTTATCAATTATACAGAACACTACAAAAATGACAGCTTCACATTCATTCATTATAGGAATTATACAGCATTTTTAATAAGAACGGTACATTTTTAAAAATATCATATAGCTTAATAAGTCTTTCGATTTAAAGTAATAAGTAAAATGTAGACTTGATTGAATTAAGATTTTCTATATATAAGAGCAACTTCAACACTATGAGACATTTTGCCTACTTTTGACAACTATTAGTTTTAGTCAAAATGTTAAAAAAGTTACTATAAGTTGTCACACCACTTTCTTTATTTTTTTGCATATTTTTTCGTAAAAATTTTAAAAATTATAAAAATAGTATGTTTTTAAACAAGGCCTAAAAGTACATAAAAAAAAAATACTCTATTTTATTTAATCATTTTAGTTAATGTGTATTCCTACAAGGCTCTTGATGGCTGTCTAATTTGTAGGGGAAAGCAGAGGCATAATGCTAGTCCTAGTGTATTGCCTAACCTATTAGAGTATTGAAATTATGATTTGGTTAGGTAAAATAATTAACAGGCACAATATAGAGATTCTGTTGAAGTTGCTCTAATTAGAATAGAAATGTCTATTTCTATAAATAAAGTTGCAAGATGTTATTAAAATTCAAAATTAACAGTCTATAGTTATTACATCAATTTGGATTTTAAATTCTCTCTTTACTGTTTCGAATTTAACATAAAGATATATTAATATAGGTGTTATTGATCATGAAATTCTCCATTCCATAAAAGAGAATTTGCACCTCTATAATCACATGTGTTTCTTATTCTTTCTTCTAAGGATGCAGGTAGACAAGTCAGTTTCTCTTCCATGGCTTTCGTACAATGATTTTGTTGTGCTTTTATTATAAGAAATTTCAGCAAAGTATATAATTTAACGGTTCGATTTAAAATTAAAGTAAAATAATTTTAAATTTTAACTTAAAACTTAAGTCATTTAATTGATTTATCACAATAAGATGATTATAAAGAATCATGATCCATTTTAAATTCCTTTTTATCCCCACAATCATGTTAGAGGAAGAGGGAAAAAGAAACAAAAGATCCATCCCATATATAACACAGAAAATTATTGAAAAGTTCAAAATAAAGAGAGTATAAGGTTTTAGGTCCAATGAATATTTTTTATTAGAGAGAGATCCACCATTTGTGAAATAATTTAGTGAGAAATCATTTTATTGATTATGGAAGACATTTTGTTTCTAATTTTACCCCTTTATTTATCTGTTGACTTTTTTTATCTGTTCATTTTTTGTTGACTATCTGTTCAAATTTATATCTATCTGTTCAAATTATTTTTTATCTGTTCAATTTTTTTTGTCTATCTGTTTAAATTTTTTTTATCTGTTCAATTTTTAACCTATTTTTTCTTTCTATTTAAATTCACACCATTTTAAAACTTTTCTCTCTCTATTTGTTTCCTCTCTTTATATCTATTTTCTCTCCCTCTCTCTCTCTCTATATATATATATATCTATTTCTCTCTCCACTTCTCTTGTCTCTTACTATCTATTTCTCTCTCTATCTATTGAAAAAATCTCTATTGTAAATCTATTTGCTGCAATCATCACCAATCATCAACAACATCTTTATTTTACTCTTTATCTCTCTCTCTCTCACTCTCTCTATAGGGTTTCTAACCTGTTCAAACCAACTATCTGTTGAAAAACAACAGATCTATTATGTGGTAAATAGATAGCAAATGAAATTTTAACAAAATAAATGAGCAATAAAACACAAACACAACAGCTTAAGTGCTTGATTTGCTGGGGCTAGTGCTTGATAGTGCTCAACATGAGCTTGAGTATTGTTGGCACTACTCAGGCCCATTTTCTAAACTTTTTATCCCTGAAACAGTTTTGAAGCTCACATCTCATTTTTTTAGATCTATGATGACAGTTATTGAAATGCAATCCGATAAATTATACAAAAATTTCCTAAGAACCAAACAAAGAAATGAAAAAAAAGAGAGGAAAAGAATGGAATTGGAGAGAGAGAGAGAGAGAGAGAGAGAGAGAGAGAGAGAGAGAGAGAGAGAGAGATGGGG